TATATATATATATATATATATATATATATATATATATATATATATATATATATATATATATATATATATATATACCGGGTGTCCCAAAAAAAAGTACTCCGGTTTGATTTATAATAACTTCTAAACAAGTAAAGCTATCAAACAGAAATAACTTGCATTAAATAGAGGAAGGACTAACTTAGATTTTGATATATTACAGTTGTATTTTACTTAAAAATTCACGGAGATATTAATGTTCAAAATCAGGAGCGTATTTTGGGATGTGCCTAAAATTAGCGAAAATCGGCATATCAAATATTAATTTCAGCGTTTGCTTGCTTGATGACATATCAGGCTAACTTATATTTCAGCGAATTGTCGTTAGGGTTTGTAAGGGATATGGCGTAGATTTTGACTTCTTACATGTAAGCTAAGTCTCAGCTCATTGTTTCCTGAAATATGAACGTACGAAATTATGCAAGTATTTAATAGGTCTTTACAAACTTTACAAATTTATAAGGTACATGAAAGACCATGCAAGGCAGGCGCTTAAATTTTTCTTAGCCTAATTTTTTTATGTTTTTCATGGGTTCAAAACAGAGTTGATTATTTCTCGGTTAGAGCAGGACGAATATTATTCTGCAATGAAGGAAATAATATTGCTTTTTGCAAATACACATCACAGTATCAACGCTACTATTTTGTTACGTTTTGTTCCAAAAATGTTGGATGTCTCCAGGGAGTTGCATACTTAATTGTTATGTCTTATGGAGTTGTATGGTTTGATTGTGTTTCATTCTCAGTTTATTCTGAACTTAAAAAGATTAAGAAAAGGCAAATGAGTTTGAGTGTTCTTAATTAACAAGATTTCAGAACATTGCAGAAGTTAGAAGAGCTTCACAATTCCATTGTGACAGCATGCCCTAATTCAGAACTACGAACGATCCATGATGATCCTTCGCGATGCAGTGGTCTCATGAAATAAGGAAACGTATTCGTGCTAGGAACACACACAGATTTCGGACGAATAAATCTTGCTTGTATTTTGTAGATAATAATACTTTGTTTCATAATAAACAATTTGTCAAGTGTCATTTATTTACTGGTAATCGTGCATGTTTTAGTCTGGCAAATCTTGATTAATATTTGATACGCCGTTTTTTGCATATTTCAGACACATCCAGAAATATGCTCCCGATTTTAAACATTAATATCTCCGTGAATTTTTAAGTGAAATACAACTCTAATATATCAAAATCTAAGTTAGTCCTTCCTCTATTTGATGCAAGTTATTTCTCTTTAAAAGCTATACTTGTTTAGATGTTATTACGAATCAAACAGGAGTACTTTTTTTTGGGCCACCCGGTATATGTATATATATATATATATATGTATATATATATATATATATATATATATGTATATATATATATATATATATATATATATATATATATATATATATATATATAGTGTATATATATATATATATATATATATATATATATATATATATATATATATATATATATATATATATATATATATATATATATATATATATATATATATATATATATATATATACATGGTGTCTCAAAAAAAACGCTACGGAAATTAAACAGGCTGTCGTGCATCATAAACGAGGCGAAACAATTCAATTTTTACATAGGACGAAAGAACAGTTATTTAGCTTTTCAATGATACTCTTTTTAAGTCGTAACGATGAGAAATGGGCACATACTCGTCAAATAAAAATTGCAGGTCGAAATCACATTCTTGGGAATTGCATCGAAAACGAAACATAAACAATTCCCAAGAGGGAATTAAAATTGAATGTTAAATTATCTAAAATAAGCTCAACTCGTCAATCTTCGTCTTAGTGAGACAATCAGAACTCAATACGAATTTGGTACGAAACATGGTTCAATTAACCCCTGAACAGAGAACATTCGTTATTAAAACGTTTTATGAAACAAATAGCTTGCAGCAGGCTCGCATTGCTTTTGGATTGACTAACTTTGCATAATTAATGTATTTTCAATTCCCAACGGTGGAAGAATGTGATTTCGACCGGCAATTTTTATTTAACGAGTGTAGCCAGGATGTCATAGAAAAGCTAAATAACAGCTCTTTCTTCCTATGTAAAAATCGAACAGTTTAGCTACGTTTATGATATATATATATATATATATATATATATATATATATATATATATATATATATATATATATATATATATATATATATATATATATACAAAATAATGGTTTAATATTACAAAAACTTATCAGTAACTAGTTAATAAGTAAAGATTAAATAGTTAAGGTTAATATTACATAACTAAAATAACTCAAGAGGGGTAGATCTAATATTATCATTAAGGACAGGATTAAGTTGAGAAATTAATAGGCTTTCACGGATAAGAAGATCTCACTCAGAAGCATCCTCGTTCCCAGGGCTTCTCGGCTGCCTGCGTTGCCGTAAGCCCTGGGACAAGCCAAACCGGAACACCACAAATTCTGGTGTTTTCCGGAAGTAAACGTGCTCTACTGCAGCTAAAAATGCTGACTGTGCATTAATTTTTACTGAGGAGTGGAGACGTGTTGGTGAGAAGAAAATATTGGATTTTCCTTTTGTTTTGATGTATTTTCCACCATCAAGGGAATATGTGTAGACCACCTAATGGAATTATACCTACTGGGGTTTTATATTTCGTTGTATCGTTAATATTCGTCAAAATACAACCACATTTCGGTCTCGTATTACATGTATCAATTTTCACGTATGATGTAAACATGATCGAGTCGCTCGAAATGTGCTCGAAGAGGTTGCTGTGATTCGAAACATGGGTTCTTGTACAGATGACCTGTTTCAACACGCGCTTGTAAAATCACTTCAAAGACTGGACAAAGCCGGACTGGAAATTAAAGAGAAGCAATACGAAGCTTTGCCGTCTGTCGTATGTTGTATATAAAAGGAACAAGAACGACATGTGACATGTCTAAACGGCGGTGTGTGTCTGTTTACTGGGCTACAACAACGGCAATAACAATGAATCACCTAACATTTCGAGAAAATATGAATTATGGATAGATGTCATGCATGACTCCATCAGTTTTGGGTTTGAATTGCTAGATTTAAATTTATATTATGTATACAAAATCATGCGTGTGTATAAAATTCGAGCAAAAAAGCGCAAGGTCAAGGTGTTTGTTTGGCCATATGCCCATCATGTAGTATGAATATTGAACACCGTTTTATATAGTACGTTTAAAACGTTATTTCCATGCCGGATAATCCTGAATCCTTCACCGATTACATGTGTGGCAAATGACGAAAAA